CAATCGGCAGGTCGAGTGCGGTGGGGTCAAGTCTGGACACTCCCTAATCTTCCAAGATGTCTGGCCAAGCGTATAGATCAATAGGTCAACGCGCCTTCCATTGGAACTGTCTGGCACTCCCTCTCACGGAGGCCATTCCGTCAGCAATTGTGAGAGTAGGAAATTGCAGGGCTGCGCCTTTACCTCACGATAAGGTAATTAGTTTAAAACAAATTTCTTTAGAACTGCTTTGTGTTTAGTTTGTTGTCCTTCCCACGTACCTCCGAATCATCACGGTTTGGTTACGTATGTGTGCGAAAGAGGTTCAACTCACATACACACATATCGTTATTCTTGATAGTCCGTGCTCTTTTTACGCATCTTCCGGCAATGAGCACAAGCTGGCTCTGAAGCCGAGTGGAGCGTGTCCCCAGGTGTACAGCAGGAAGGCACACCCTTGTCCATCACTGTCTGACGACATCGTGAAATACGCCTCCAGGCAGCGAAGCCACAACCGCTGTCAACGCGGCGACGGACGCAAAAATGAAACAAACACATTTTTCTTTTTTGACAGACACGCACATAAACAAAGATCCCGCCCCCCCCCCCCCCCCCCCCCCCCCCCCGTTATAGTCTGCACAGGGCATTGCGACAAAATGCTGCTAGCAAGCGAGCTCGTATGAAGGCCGACACGGCACAAGAGTGGGTGGCAACACCACGCCCGGTCGCCTTTGTCTCCCGAGTTCCCATCGAGGGAATTCTACTCATCTCTGTTGTTCGCGTGGCTTTGCATGTTGCCCACTTGTCGTCCCACACACTCAGTTCCAGAAAGTAAATTTCAAAGGTTTCAATGATTCTACAACAAATTGGGAGGTAGCTCGTTTCTCCGCGATGATTCAGATTATTTTGCCGCGTGGAAATGTCCACGTTATAAGCCACTTCGTTGAGCTATAATTTGTAGCCAGGTCGCTTCTTAAAAAGCTATTACAGCTCAGCGGGTCTCACCTGGTAAGCGAAAAAATTGTTTGGTTTTATTTCTATATATTTTTTAAAGTGGTTTCTTTACCTTTACTACACTGTGCACTCCCGTTGTGTTTTTGCATTGCTGTTGTAACGTGCTGACCCGCGCAACCTACTGGAAATCTGTGCAGAGAGAGCTTTATAGCTCATCGGATTCCTCCAGTGTAAATAAATATTCTGATTCTCCTCTCCTGCCCAACCCCACTCCCCTCCTCTCCATAGTTTCGAACTCCATTCCCCCCAGCCATCAGTGCTGCCGGCTCCTTGCCCCCCTGGCTCTAGTCCTGGGCTCGAGCCCTCAAAAAATCAACTCACTGCCACCCCCCCCACCCGCGGCCCCCCATCTGTAAAATAACGACACCCACCACTTCTGTCCAGCGTCTTGAGACGCCGCCTCGTCTAGGACGCGAGAGGAATCCCACGTTGCGTTGTACGTCTACAGCCCCGTTTTCGTCACTCCGCATACCTTGCTGGGCGATAAGGATATTTTTTTTGACCGTACTTCACCACGCTGGTCAGTGTGGCTCGGCGAGGATGGGAAGTGCACAGGAACAAGCAATCGATTGTGCTGTGCCACCCTCTTACTGCCCGCAACGCCGACTACGCTTGCGCGGGGCGGACACCGGTCCTAGCGCCAGCCAGGCTCAAGCCTGCTTAGCTTGGTGAGATCTGATGAGATCGGAAGCGGTTGGGGGGGGGGGGGGTGGCATCCCGGGCGATTTGGTCGTGTGCCAACGAAAAACAAAGGATGAATTGAGTGACAATGAAGGGGAGGGTGGAGAAATAGAAAGTGGAGGAAAAACCCGAGTCAAAAAAAAGATAGACACTTTCAAAGTTCCAAGTTTGTACTTAGGCACGACAAGCAACAAAGGTGGATACATCAGGCCAACAGCACAGCACACGCATGCAGAGATACAAGCTCGGAGCGACGTGGCAAGAAACAAGGCAAGGAGGTCGGCGAGAGAAAATAAATAAATAAATCCCGTTACACCGCTCACTCCCCAACGCCAATATGATCTCAACACGCAGCCGAAAATACAATTTCAAGCACGCGCATCATTAGTGTCTGATTTTTCATCCCGGTAACCAGATTACATTTTTTTGTTGTTGGTAATAATCGATTCATAACCGTCATCTTAGATGGAGATACTGTGTGCTCGACGAGGGGCGTTCTGTATCGGGGCATAGTTACTCCATGCGCCGTCGTTGTATCAAGCAAGTTGAATTTGCATCGATTGTTTTATTTCACAATTCATGCCGATTGTGCTCTCAGTTGTCAACACGTCACGGAACAAATAATCCATTCGTAAATCTCGCAGAGCAGAGCAGGGCGCCCCCCCCACCCCCGTGTGCCAGCGATCGGCCAGTGAAAAAGATTTATAGAGGGCTTTTGCTGTAAAAAAAAGCTACAATTGGCCTCTATGGCATTGAGAGTAGGGGGCGCACTTTTCAATGCACTCTGCTGCGAGATTGTTTTTCGCATGACAGATGCGGTCAACCCATATCTTAGATGCAGCCAAAGCAAATGCAGAGCCAAATTTAATACGACGCCTTTTTACGTGCAGTTATTGGTGACTGGGCGGAGATCATCGACTAACTACAGTTTAAAGAACACAGCCGTATCAAGGATTCAAACACAGGTTCTCAGCGGTACCGGCTCTTAGCACTCCAACCTCCAAGCCACTCAAGCAACCTCTTAAAGCTCACGATGCACGCATCGAATCCCGTGCGCGAGAATGTCTTTTTTTATTAACTTGCATCTGGAATGGGGTCCCCGAGAGGACTTCAAGCGAAGAGATGGACCGATGAGATCGGTTCCCGTCCACGTGCTGGATGGAGCGTTGCATCGCGACATCGGGAGAGGTGGCGAGGGCTTCAGCAGGCAAACATCCAGCAGTGGATCGATCATGGTTTGATGATGATGTGAGTTAATGTGTATGTCATGTAAATAATTGAACGATTGAATCCACGTAACCACTAATATCTGCAACATTCTCTTCAATGTTAAAACAATCGACTGTTGAATCGATAAACTTATTTTTTAAAAATTCCTCCGAAACGGATCCGAAAGAAAAACTAAAGCAAAATAACTTTATCAGTATGCCGAGGCTCCCACAAGGCCATGTGGGAGGATGCATGGCACAGTTTGGCACCAGCTATCAGAGTGTGATCGGTCGCTACAGTTCTCTACGGCGAGTACAATTTCTTTAAGAACGGGCGCTATGCCTATTCTTTAGGTCTTTTGGTAAAGTCACGTAGACAGGTGAAAAGAAAATAACAAAAAAACTACGACGTTCCAGAAGACGACCCGCTTTGTGTTGCGATCGAAACTTCGTAGTTTTTTTGTTATTTTCTTTGACCCTATCTACGCGACTTTACCGAAAGACCCAAAGAATACGAATTCCTGCAGTCACGAAAGCTTTAAGTCAAGATTTGGGGCGCTACGCCTCTCGAAATAAAATGAACGCTCAACCGCTTACGCGTTTGCGAGATTCAGCGGCGAACGGGACACCCACCGCCCCCGCAACTTGCAGCCGTCTCGGAAGGGTTAAGGGTTTGAACTGCACGCAAAACCTCAGGGGGGGCTACGTACGCGCCGTCCATCTCGTCGCCAGAACCGGTGGCGTGGCTTGGTTGGCATCGGGCCTGGCGCAAGGAATGAAATGGGGTCCCCCCTCGTTCTAAATCGCCCTCCGCACCTCCACGTCTCTCTTTGTAGGCCTCGGGCGCCTTGGTGATTCTGGCCCAACGGGCCCCCCACACCCACGGTGCAACTGCACCGCCAGCGCACTCGGCATCCAAGCACGCCACTGACCGCTGGCACGAATACTGGCACGTGAGCCCGCGTTTCAGGCAATGGACCTTTAGAGGGGATAAAGGGCCACAGCCTGAAATGTTGGCTTTCTGTGTGGCGGCACTGCAGTTTGTGCACGCCCGCGCGCACTAGACGTATCGCTGATAACGATGTAGCGCACTATCATGAACTTCATTTGTCCGTGTTTTATTTACGCTTGGTTGTGACGCTTACGTGAATCGTTTTGGTTGAACAGAGTCGAGTGCGAGGGCTTACTCTGGCCAGGAGAAACCAGGCACCTGAGGTAGTGATGATGACTTGCGGCAAAAGAGCTGTGACCTTTAACCTAGGCCAAACAAATAAACGTCACGCAGATTATTTTGACCGTGATTTAGGCCGTCCAATTCGTAAATTATTTTTAAACGGGCGTTGGGAACGGTTTTGATAAAATGAAGAGAAACACGTTGGAGACAAATGAAGTCTTTGTGTGAGAGGGGGCATGGGGAGGGAGTGGGGTGAAATCTCATGGACACTTTCTAGAAACGGCAATACAGTAGAAGCTGGATATAGGCACACCTGATATGCAAGCACAACTCTGGTATAAGCAACACGTCCTTACATTATACCGGTGGGGGGAGGGGGGAATGGCGATGGGTATAACTTCTGATACAGGCACACTTTGGATATAAGCCCATTGGCTAGACTTTCCACAGGGCAAGGCAATGGGTGGGACAAGATGTGATGTAAGGCGCTGTGAGTTGCACAGCAAATTCTCATCCTCACAAATTAAACAAATTGTTTGGTGATACTTCATTGGCAGTGGTGCTCAAGCACCGTGAACAGAGAAACCTCAACGAATACATGAACAGCACTGCCTTGAGAGTGCATAACACTACCTTCTAAGGCCTCTCTAAGTGTTGTGCAGAAGGAGGGCCATTGGCCAAACTACATTTCTTTTTAAGGCCACCGTGTTATCGACGACGAAACGTGTCGAGGTGTAGTTCTTATCCTTATCAGCGCACACCGCAGCCCTGGCCTCACTCGCAAGCAACCCCAAGGGGCGCGCGTAACATCCAGCTTCTACTGCAAGGCAAATCTCAAAAACACTAATGAAAGCACTCGGAATACAGCTCTGGTGAGCGGCGGGTCCCTTCACCTCACCCTCACCTCCCCCCCCCCCCCCGTCTCTCCCGCTCACGCATCTGACCTTCGCGGCTTGGGCCCACGCGAGGACGCTGCGGGCCGCCTGGTCGCCACGGCGGCGGCCAATCCCACGGCGGCGCACAAGCAGGTGGCGGGCAGACGCAGGCGGGAGAGCCAATCGGAGGGAGCGTTGCTGGCGGCGGCGGTGGCGGCGGCGGCGGCGGTCAGCGGCGCGTATCGCTCGGCGACGTGGATGAGCAGCAGGAGGAGCCAGAGCAGGGAGGCCCAGGCGTCGATCCGACGTACCCTGGAGCCGAGGGCCGTTGGGCAGCGAGAGCAACACACACACGCACGCACGCACGCGCGCAAATCGCAGGCACCGTGATCGTTATGTGAGAGATTTGGACGGCACCTGGCCAGCTAATCATAACCTGGGGCAAACGAATTTTTTTTTGTTTGCCAGGTAAGGCCCACTGAGCTATATAGCTCTTTTTAAGGAGCGACCTGGCAACAAATTATTGCCCAATTAAGTGGTTTATCATGTGAAAATGTATAGCAGCCAAATACTCGAAACGCATGTTTCTAAATGCGGAGGGAAAAACCAGAGTACCCGGAGAAAAATCCATGCGACCACAGAAAGAACATGCAAATTCCGAATATACAGGTGTCAGGGTCGGAATCGAACCCACAACCTCCTGTATACCAATAGAGGTAGTTAACATCTCGCCACTGTGGCAAAGCCCTGGGCAGGGATTAAGTAGGAAACTCAAATATGCGTGGCCAGTTAATCATAATCTGAGACAAAGCCCTGGAGAATGAGTGACTTGCAAGGAATGTGGACCAGGGGTATAAGAGAGGAGAACAAGAGAGGAGGGGGAAGGTAAGTTCTGGACAAGGAGTGCTGAAGCTTGGTGTGATACAAGCCGTACGACCGGGCAGATGCCTGTGGGTCATCTAATAAAGACACCTTGCTGAACATGGCATGAGCAGAATCCTGACAAGTTCTCCGGCTCCTCCGGTTTTTCCCTCCACATTTAGAAAGATGCGTTTTAGAGTATTTGGCTGCCGTAAATTTCCACATGATAAGCCACTTCGCTGAGCTAGCACCTATATAGCTCAGTGGGTCTTACCTGGTAAAATAAAAAAAATAGCTTCGTTTCAATTAACCAGGGTGGCCGGCTGGGCTCGAACCGTGAATCTCTGCACCGAGCGGCAAACGCTCGCCGCCGCTCGACCGCGTCACCGCGCCCCCATCCACGTGACGTATGGTAACGTGCCGACGACGAGCCACGTGTTGAACGCTGGCCCAACGTTGAACATGTCCTCTGAAGGACCGACAGGTGGGGGGGGGGGGGGGGGTGGGGGCGGGTGGGTGGGGGTGGCGAGGGACAGGGCGCTCCACATTTTTCGCCGAGCCGGCCATGTAGGCCAGGGTCGGCAGGGCAGAGTGGTGGGAGTTTTTCTCGCGATGGGCCTTGGATTCAAGAGAGGCGAGGCGGTGATGGTGGTGGGGGAGGTTGGGGGGGCCCCCCGTCCCCCCCCCCCCTTCTAAACGTTCGTGGCGAGGGGTGGCCGCACGTTCCCCGCCGTTCGTAAATTACGTGGCAGACTCGTGGGGGAGCAGGTGCGGCCAATGGAGCGCGATTTCTGGGCAAACATGGGCGCAACGCCCTCTGTTTTTTAAACTTGGGGCGGCCTTCGACTCTGCCGTGTTAACGACGGTGGCCATGTGTTAACAAGCTGTCCCTGCCTCTCCCACGAAATTCGATACACTGACCTTGCTTTTTTTTCTCGGTCACACAAAAAAAGTGGATTTTTTCTTAGTTTTACCAATCATCGTCATGGCTATAAGCACACATAAGCAACACTCCATTCTTTGTCTCCGGCAGATAACAATTTTTTTTTATCAATCTGCCTGATGTCTTTTGGGAATTATATCAGCACAAATAATTTGTTTAAGCAAGCAAATTGAGAAACCGGTTTCAACATTCTGGGTCTCATCAGCAGTCTGGCCTGTTGAACGAATGCTGCTGGGTGATCATCGTGATGGATGTTATTCCCACGTGCGAGAAAATCGCATGTGTCAGTACTCTACAAAAACAAGTGTGTTTGGTGGCTGGGAAATTAAGCGGTGCTTAAGGGCTGAAGGTTTAAAAAATAAAAATTATTCAAGCATCTTAAAGAGTATCACAGTAATAACAATACCGCCTATTCACACAGAATAGGATTGAATACGAAGCTCTCAGGACGTAGGGCGGAACGTCGGACATCGTGCCGAACGATACGCGGAAACAACCCGCGTGCGCATCGGGTAAACGCACCGTAGCACAACCGCGAAATCCTGCGCCGTAGTAATTCGAAAATATTTGGCATTCTTCCAAGTTGTTGTCGTTTTTTGCAGGTCATCCATCATTTCCCCCGTTCATTGCCAAGGATAAGTTGAGAGCCGAGTGCGCTTGCACTTTTTAATTTGCAAGAGGCAGAGGTACACGCTTTGTTCGTTTCAACTCCACGGCGGGACAGATGGACACGTGTCATTCGGGGCAACGAGAGAGTGCGGGAACACGCCTGACTCAGGCATGCCGGGGGACACCGATGCACACCGCCGCCGCCGCAGCAGCAGCGGCATCGCAGACGGTGGCGTGGCCGCCGGGCGTGCAGGCGGTGCGACTGTACCACGGCCCGCGGGCCGGACGGGCCACCCGGAGGGCCCCGGGCTACGCGAGAGCGGGGAAGGATGGGAGAAGTCAGGAGTCCCCCCCCCCCCCCACACATTCGCATTTGATTTTTGGGTCAGTTCGCCATGAGCGGAAATGCGTGTCGTACACCCTCCGCCACCCTACACAGCCAATTCATAAAGTTCCCATGTGAATGAACACGCCAATTTATGACTGCTTCGGCAGCTACTGCCAGTGTGTCCGGGAGAACGATCCACACACGTTTAACAATTGGGCATGATGTTCCGTCGTCCTTGCACCAGGGTCCATGCCAACCTCGCGACGCCACTGAGTACAGACGGAGCATCTGGACAAGTAATTTGGCTTCATCCGAGACTTTCCTAGCAGGTACCACGATGCAGAACACAACGTGCATTCTGTTTCAAACAATGTCTAAATGCATGCGAGTCTCAAAGGTGTCGTGAAGCTAACGCAATTGTAAACCGAGCCAATTAAAAGTGCCACTTGTGTATCTAGGCAAAGCCTCACTGAATCTCAAAATTATATTTTTAGGAGGGTCCTTCTGCATTGGTATGTTCCGGCCAATTCCATGAACGAGTTGTTCGGCTTCGTGTGGGAGGAAACCACGGTGCCCAGAGAAAATCCACCACTAGTACGATGGGGGGGAAACACTCGTGTGCTCCACCCGGATTCAATTCACCTGCCATACACTGCCACTTCCCGACCAAACTCACAGCCCAAGCCTGTAACAAGTCTCCCATCCAGTTACCAATCAGGCTCCATCCTGATTCATTTTTACCTTCTGCGACCTGACAAGATGGGCCACGAATAAAACATATTTCCAACAACACTGTTCGTATTAATGTCAACGTACGGCTTCAGTGACAGGTGGCTTACTTGCTGCCCCCATCGATGATACAAACGTGGGCCGCGTGAACCCCGCAGGGGTGATTGATGGGCGTGCAATTCGACGCCCGCAATATCGCGCCGCGCACGGTCCGTGTCCATATCAACGCGGCCGCCAACAAAGGAATGAGCCCGGCGAGGCAGCGGCGGCAAAGAACACAAAAGCCCCCCGGAGTGAGCGGAAATGATGTCCGTCGGAGAGGAGGGAGCGGAGCCCGTCTCGACGTCCGCATGTGCCTCGAGTCGCGTGAGTGGAGGGAGAGAGAGAGAGAGATATATATAGCGCACGTGTTCTCGCGCTGGGACGACCGGAGTCTTGCCTGACGACCAAACCCGCGATTAGTTTGTTTGTGGGAGTTTTTTGGTACAATTAGCAAATTCACAGCCAAGAGGTTCGGGGGAGTCGGGGGGAAGGGGGCCGGGGGGGAAGCAACAAAAGGCCACGGAATACAGCGAGCGGTGTCCCACGTGATCTTTTTTTTTCTTTAATACAATACGAATTTCAAAGAGTGTATAAAAAGGCTAATTAAAGACGTGAAGTTTTTCAGGGCCCAGTTCGCTGGAACTGCCCCTTATGCCATCTACCCCTTCCCTCCACCTCCCCGTACTTTGCCCCCCAAATGGCCGCCATGGCGCCAACATCGTTATCAGTGCCCGACAGCATTTTCTTAGTGAAACAATGAAGGCACCTCCCCTCTTGACCTGACGTGCTTCTCCTGCCATTTTCAAGATTTCAAGGACTATATTAAAAGGCCTATTTTTATTATTTCCCCCACGCCCCCTACTACCTGTACACCAGGCGAGGTAGTTAACATCTCGCCACCGCGGCTTTTAACTTGCAAGCGCCTTTCAACGTCCCCTTCATTATCGCCGGGTGTTGTTGGCGCGTCTCATTTTTCACTGAAGCCCGTTCCGCGTTTACTTGCGACCACAACAATACGCCGGTCACTAACAGATTTTTTTAAAGCGAATAAACGCCGCACGAGAATATCGCCGCCCACTTATTTCTGCCCGCCGGATCTCTTTGAACTCTGACCCCGAGAGCAACACCCGCTGGATGGCAACCTGACAACTACAGCCGCGGGGAAAAGGGGTGCAGGTGTGGGAAAGCTAAACTGCGATATGATGAATTCAAGTGGCAGTTTTTTTTTTTACATACGTATGTATGTATGTATGCACATTGAACGTCTTCCGTACCGTGCGTAGCCAACTGTGCTCACCAGAGGTCGCGGGAGAAGGACAACAGCTTCAATCGCAAAATGTACTTGACAGTTGAATCCTCGTTTTATGACAACCACCTCCTTTTTTTAATCTGCGCTTGAGCCCATTTAGACCGCAAGCACCTTTTTCAAAGGAGACCTGGGAGTAGAAAGCACTGTGGAACATATACCCGTGTCGTTGTCATCAGCCATGACCTATCCGCTGCTGGATGAATGCATCCCTTCCAAGCCATTGCCATCTCTCTCAGTCTTGCAACAACCCATTTTAGCTCCCTTTCACCACTCTCTGTGTGGTGCCTTTGGCTGCAGCTCTGTCGTTAGTCTCAACCCACCAGCCATCGTACCTTCTCTAGTGACATGTCCTGCCCAAGCCAACCTACTTTTCCCAACAGGTTGAATTTTGTTACCGACATGCACATATACACACATATCTAAATCGGCTCAAGCCATCCCGTAAATCACGTGACTACTTACTGTGTGGCCACACCCACTCTGAACCCCTC